ATTCTTCCCAACCAAAATACATTTTTCCCTCAATGTTATTAAAAAATGCGTTTGGCTGTCCAATACTATCCAAACTATTAGACCATCTCTATCGAGTTGGACACTAATTTAATGACTATTTTTCTGTGGTCTAGATTACGAAAAAGAAAGAGATAAATGTTTAGGTGCACTGTTTTATAATTTGAATTGTTTCAAAATGTAAAATTGAGATTTTTTTTTTTTTATCTAAGAAGCCATCAATATCAAAGAGCTCTTCCTTATCAAAGGATAAGTATTTTACAATCTAAAAGAGTTCAAACTAAAAATCACTTGGTTTCGATGATGTTTTTAATTTTTTGTTTTCAAATCTCTGCATCCCTAAATTTCCAAAAGCCTACCTGACACCAACAAATTTCTCACACATAAATCCAGCAACTATCGCGTTTTTCAGCTGCCAAATTTCCGGTCCCGGATCCCGCCCCAAAATCCAACTTCAAATCTCCACAGAAAACTCTCATGGACATGTGCCTCATCCACCACGTTCCCGATTTGAACGTTGACCAAATGGAGAACCTCAAACTAAACGTCACTGACCCTCTGGTATTCCGTTCCTTCTCCATCTCCTGCACCACCCAAATGGGTACCGATTGTTCCACGGATCCGTTCGTCGATATCTGGACACCCATCGTCGTTTTCGTCCCCTTTTCCAAGTAGAGTGGCGTGCTGTAAGCAAAACCTACGGGATTGCTATCGTCGTAGTACACCGAACTCTGGATCCGATCGAAGTAGATTCTCATTTTTTTTGTTAGAGTTATCAACGACGACTGTTGCGTTGAAGTTGGCCGTGAACGGAGTCGAAGTATTGAAATTCGACACCGACATCGATTCAGACATGGAAAGTTGGGATTTCGGGGTGCAAAATGATCCAAGTCGTGATGCTTAAAATGCAAACAAGGAAAATGAAAAAGAAAATCACGCAAAGGAAGCCGCGGATGAATTCGGTGGCTCTCCTATCGTTGGTGTAATTTTGCTGGTAGTAATAGGAGGCCGGTGGCGGTTGTGCGTAGCCGCATTGGTTGTACCCATTGTGGTAGTAATTGGGCGGATATTGTTCGGGTTGGGAACCCATTTGGGGATGGTACCCTATTGGGGGTGCATAGGTCGGGGGAGGCGGATGGACATCGGAATGCGGCAGTTGCTGGTGATTTGGGGCCAGGTTTGGGATGGGACCCGATTCTGGTCCTTTCTTGGAATTATGGTGTTTTGGGGAAGGAGATCGAGAGGAATCTGAGGAGGACGGCATGGTTCTCTCTCTCTCTCGGGAATTCTAAGAGATGAGAGAGAGTTTGAGAATGGAAATGGAAGGGAAAAAGAAAGGAAGAAGAACGGAGATGGAGAAATGGCAATAAAAACGGAGGGGGATAAGAGTTAGATTGCTTGATGTTCGTTGATGTTGGAGCAAAAATAGATGAAAGGCATTACTTCTATTTCACTTACATGCTGAAAATCAGCGTTCTTTGGCAACAAAATCTTGTTACAGGCTGAAAATCAGCGTCTTTAGCAACAAAATCCGGTTGTGATGATTTATTTACAGCAAAAATTTATTGTAACTCTTAAAAGAAATGATTTCGGCATCAAAATTTTGGATAGAAAAGTTATCTTAACCGTTGATTTGGTAGATTCATATCAAATTCACATCATGATTAATAGTTATCATAAATTCGATTTAAATTCATTGTAAACTTATCAAAAAAAAAAAATCATTATTTATTTTAAAATGTTCACATATATCATTTTCCTACGAATCATGATATATTTACCCTCTCCGTCTATACCCTCTGTCACACACCTTCACTTTCTATTACTTCACTTTCTATTACTTCACTTTCTATTACTTAATTCGTTATCTCCAGACGTTTCTTACTCTTCCTGTTTTCCTTTCTCCCTATCTCTGCTTTCCTCTTGCTCTCCTTGCTTTCCTTTTTCAAAATTCTAACAAATTCATTATCTTCTTCCTTTTTCCTCTTTTTTCTCTCTTTTTTTTTTCTCTCTCTCTCTCTTTCTCCATCTAAAGAACCCAGATCGAGAACTTGGTCTGGTTTCTGTTAGAGAACCCAAATCGGGTTCTCAATTGGGGTTCTCCAAAAGAAAGGAGGAAGCGGGGAAAGAAGGAAGAAGGTTGAAAATCAAAGAACCAGTGCTGGGTGAAGAGGAGAGCTGCTGGGTTAACTGAAGAAACAAAGAGAAACGGAAACGAAATGAGTGTGTGACAAAGGGTGTAATGGGAGAGTGTGTAAGTATCATTTCCCTTTTCCTATTACTAAAAGAATAGATGTACATTATATTACTTGTTCCATTTGAAAGTAAAAAAGGCATAAGAATAATATCACGTTATGTTTTTGGTCAAATTTTGCTCACATTGAAATTATATATTTAAGAAAATTAATTGTTTTAGGTGTTGGTGCTCAAATTTAAACCTTAAACTTAACTTATAAAATGATACTTACTTTATAATGCTATAATCACAAATCACAATATTACGAAAGATTGTAAGTTTACAATTATGACTTATCATTAAGGGAATAAATACATACAATATTATATTATGAATAAAATTCTTTAATAAAAAAAATTAATTATATAATGATACGTCTTGATTTTAAGTATATCATTTCCCTAATTATCTAGAACCAATGAGTACTCTTTATCAATTTAGACAAACTTTATTCAATGAGTTAAGATTCACTTACATACGTGTTTTACACACCAAATTTACATAAAATCTTGATTATTTATCTTTTCACTTTTAATAATTAGAAATTTATTCACTTTTTATTATATTTATTAAAGATAATATCTTTTTTTATCTAAAAAGTTATAATAAATTTTAACTATTAAAAATAAAAAAATAAATGATTAAGATTTTATATAAGTGTGATGGGTAAAATTTTTGTACGAGTGAATCCATAATCTTACTAAATTTACCAAATTTACCTTTTTTGATATTAGATAAATATTGCAGTCGTTTAATGAGCTGGTGACGATATTATCAAGATATATACATATAATTAAAGATTTATTGAAATGTGAGAAAATAATATAAAATGAAAAAGGACTTTCTTAAAACTCCATTTAAATGCCTACAAGATAAGTCAATTGATTAAAAATATAAGATTTTAAATTAAAGATTTTAAATTCAAATTTTGAGTTGAATGGAAAAAAATTTTTAAAAAAATAAGGACTATTCTTACTTATATAATCCATAATTAGATGTAATAAAAAACCCCCCTCATTTAAATTGGAATAGAATGAGTACAATATTTATCTTACACAACTTTTTTTCCTAACTTTAAGAGTATAATTATTATACTCTTTTACATTAATTTGTATTTTTTTAAATATTAAAATTGACATTAGTTTCACTACTAATATCATTGTAATTATTTTAAATAGACAATTAATTAAACAAATATTTTTTTACTTTTCTTACTCCATTGATCATAAGTATCAATAAGACTCTAGCTTTAAGAGTGGCGGTGTAGCTTATTGATAGTGTTTGAACCTCTAAACTGTCTCATTCATAAGTGTCAGATAAGACCCTATTTTTAGTTTTAAGAGTGGCATGGTTGCTTATTGATATTATTTGTATCCAAATAATATTGAAGAGTTTGAAATAGACATTCTCAATATGATTCAAACAACTTTTCAACGGCTTAAATCAATTTTATAAATAAAGTGAAAAAGGTTTTCATGCAACAATAATAATATCACAAGAATCAGTATAACGTAAACCATTCACCATTTAACAGAAATGAATTGAAAATGGGACACTATTATTATTTTATTTACGTATCAAAACAAGATTCTCATTTACCCC